AAACAGAATAGACTGTATATCATTATTATTATCCAGAAGGGTTGAATGGGATATTACATTTTTCAATATTTCTACCAGTGCTAATATTACAGTAAAACCACATTAGTACAAACTTGCTCAAGATGAACACTCGGTTAAATTTCTGTCCCTGCAAGGTTGTTGTATTATTATAAGTCCCCACTTTACCCAAATTTGTTAACATGAACTCTTGATTTTTCAGTCCATTAGAATCAGTATTTATTAGTTAACGACCTTTTACTGTACTGCTTACTATTACTTCTACTGCTGCTGTTATTGCTACTACTACAACTATAGTTTATTGTTAGTCTGCTCCTTTGATCTATTTGAACAAATTAGAACTAGACAGGCAGTGCTGACATAGATAGTCCTAGCAAAGCATAAATGCAAACTAACAATATGTGAATTCTTCATTGGTGACTCTGTATTTTCTCCTCCCCCCCCCCCCCCCCCACCCCCCCCCCCACCACAACCACCACCCCGTATTTCCTATGTGCCTCATCTCCTAACTAACAATATGTGAGACAAGATGTATAGGAAATACAATGGAAAAAACCAGAAGAGACAGAGTCATCAATAAAGAACTAAAAACAATAGTAGCAAAGTAACAGTAAATGATTTCATTGAGCATCAAAGAATCATTGATTTGGTCATCTGGTCAAAATGGAACTAAATCCATCAGCAGCTAGAGCGTACTACATGAGAACAGCAGGTTACAAGGCAAAGAGGCCAACCAAAAAAAATGGGTGGAAGGAGTAAAAGAGAGACTATTGAAGTGCAAGATGACATTAACATGTTACACAACTAGAAAAAGACAAGAAAGTACATCTGACTACTCTCTGCAATGCTTTAAGGCATAAGCAGTAGGCTTAAAGAAGAAAAAGGTGAACAGACAAAGCAGGCTAATGTATTCCTGTTTTGAATAATCAATAAATGATAGGTAAAAGAGCTCAGTGATGCACTACTGGAGGGAAAGGTTGACAGAAGTTGGTCCATTAACTGGCAACAATGTAACAAGTGGGGGGGGGGGGGGGGGGTGGGCAACATCAAGAGGCAGACTAGAAGTAACTTACATGATCTCACCATGAAGAGGAAAGACAAGATTTTGGAGACTCATTACAGCTGATCGTTAGTGCGGATTTGGCACCTTATTGATGATCAAAGCAATGTTTCTCCATTGTAAAGTTGAACAGAGAAGGCACCAACAATAGACTGCACAAGTGATTGCATGGCAGGTGTCTTTTTTCGACTTTTTTTTTTTTTCTTATTTTATTCACTTTCACAGTTTTGGCTTAGTTTCCCATCGCCTTTTTATTCTTAAATGTTATCAATGAATTGGTGGGAGTAATATAAAAGCTTTTATGCTGCTTATATTTTATTTCAGATGTAATCTTGTGTAGGAGGGACAAGTAACAGTGGTAAGAGTGGGACAATTTGCTTTAACAACATGTCTAGACTTCCCCAATCTCACAGTTACCTGGATTGTAAGATGCGGCTCATGAGTGATTTCCCAAGAGTAAGATACACATTTTACATTATTTCAATGATTTTTGTAAACCTACAGTTGAGCTGACTTCAGAACAAACATAATACTTGGGTCATTCCCATAAGAGCACCGTCCTCATTATCATCAGCTAGCACAGAATTATAATTCTGATTCTGTGAGTCAACACATGGTGAACTGGCCAGAGTTTCATTGTGCCTAGTTGTCAACTGGCCTTGTGAGAACCCTGATGCAGTGGGCTGACTTAACAATTAGACAATGTAGTACAAGTGTTTTTATCTGTCTCCTGGCAACCAGTATTTCAGACCCTGTTCACCACAGCCTACATCAACTGCTTGCCTTCTTGTGAGGTGAAAACAGGGGTGCTTTGTGCAGAGTGGCAAGCATCCCTTTAGAGTTCCTAGATTGTTAGCATCCTTTGGATGTTTTCTCCAGGTCATGCCGGTGTGTTGGGAAATGAGCAGGCAGATGGATTAGCTGGCTCTGCACCACTTGGTGGTGAATTGATGTATGACAAGTTAGATATTGTCGATACAGACATGTGACAAGCATGATCATGTGCTGACACTTTTCAATACCATATGAATGTATGTGCTGACACCTTTCAATACCATATGAATGTATGTGCTGACACCTTTCAATACCATATGAATGTGTGTCATAATACTTTTCAATACCATATGAACGTGTGGGCTGACACTTTTCAATACCATATGAATGTGTGTGCTGACACCTTTCAATACCATATAAATGTGTGTGCTGACACTTTTCAATACCATATGAATGTGTGTGCTGACACTTTTCAATACCATATGAAAATATGTGTGACCGTCTCAAAGAGTCAGATGGACAAACTAGAGCGCATACAGAACGCGGCTATGCGGGTCATTCTGGGTTGAAGATGTGGACTGAGCGCTTATGGGAATGCCCCGAGTGCTGTGTTTTTGGTTCTTGAATCAAATCAAATCAATCAAATGAATGTATGTGTTGATGCCTTTCGATACCGTATGAATGTGTGTGCTGACACCTTTCAATACCATATGAACATGTATAAATGCGTGCATGACCTTTCAACTCTCATACAACTGTGCAAATGTCAAGAATACAACAACAACAAAACTTTAGTTGTGGAATAGAATCCAGATAAATCATGGATCATGAAAATAGAATTCCTCTATCTCTCATTACCTATAAGGGTAAGGGGAGAGACATATACAGTCAGACAGTTACTGGTGCAATCAGAAATGGAACTTTTCGCTTTCTGCTGTAGATGGGGATGGAACGCTTATTGGAGCATCCTGAGAGTTGTGATTTTGATTCTTAATTCAACATTCAAGAACTTAATAAATAATGCTATAATTTACAAATTCCTATTATCCGGTTTTTCAGTCTTGTGTGGCTTGATGTATTGTAAATATAATTTGATTCCAGGTATTTATTTTTCTAACATCTTTCTCATCAGTGTTAATATCCTCGAACATTTTAATCAATTTATCAAGCAGGTAAAACATGTTTTATTGCAATATCAGACACCAAAGTCAGTAGAAAAAAACAACAACAACAAATGACTCAATACACAGCATTAAAATGAACAAAGCCACTGTTAGTATGATTAAGGGATCCATTTCCACTTCTTAAGATGTAATAAAGTGCTAACCTAATTTTTATAGACCATTAGGAACTAAATGGGTGACCTGGTCAATATTATCAGATCTGCCTTTGCTTCCCATAAGATTTCCTGGTGCCCTTCTAAAGCACGGTCTATCTAGGAATCCAAGTCAAATGAAAATGTCCAGCCTCTTGGGAATTTGAACACATGACCACCAGCTCAGTAGTTAAGCATGCTAGTCTCCTGAATATACTATGACTTATCTTCTCAGCCGAAACTTCTCCTTCTCTAGTCCTGTTCTGTAACTTCAGTTTTTCAAGAGGCTTTGTGTGTGAAACTTGGTATGTGCTACCTAGATGTTGGTATTTATAGCCTCAGATATTCTATCTATCCATTGCTTGCATGGTCTGCCTCTAGTTGTGCATCCATTATGCTTAATTAACAAAGCTCTGTGTGGTGCACTCTCTGGTGGTAGTCTTGACAAGCAGAGAAAAGTTGGTCAAGTGACTATTACCGGGAATTTGACCCAAACAGAACTGTCGGTTTTGTTGCTTCTAAGGCTGACTAGGCTAACAGGGTGTGAAAATTTAGCCCCTGCAAAAGGGTTTGATCGCAAAAAGCTGGAAACTGAATTTTTGAAATAAATTTGGCATGGAAATAAATGAGGTCGGAGATTTGGCAAGAGATTAAGAGACTATTTTGAAGGCATCTTGTTTTGGAAACAGAATTAAGTGATAACAATGCACTAGCTCTTCTACCACATGCACTTTTCTGCCAATGGTATCTCATATCCTGTGCCTATCTTTGTGCTTGTTGACCCCTGCCTTTCTTTCCTGAAACCATGCCATCTAGTCATTCTTTCTAATCCTCCGTTTTGCTTGACATGGCCAAAATATTCTAGTTTCGAGACAAAATGCTGTTTACTAGACAATCTTCCTTGATGTTCAGATCTTTTAGAATGTCAGTATTTCTTTTGTTCTTTGTCTATGGTATTCTGAGAATTATCCTTGACTAGATATAATAACTTGACTTGTGACAGTTAGGATCCGCTCAAAATTGGTGGCAACCCTATTCCGGAACTCCGCTACGCAGATGACATAGTCCTCCTTTCGAACAGCGTAAAGGGAATAGAAAACTTAATATTGCCTGTCCAAAAGCACAGTGAAGAAAACTGGCTATCACCCAAAAATAACAATAAATGAGGAATAAATTGAAAATGTCACAAACTTTGAATATCTAGGCTCTGTAATAAACAGCAATGGAGACTGTTCAATAGAAATTAAAAGGAGGATGGCCATAGCAATGCAAAGATTGAACAGCCTTAAAAGTCTATGATTAAGCACCAGCAAGGAGATAAAAATTAGAATTTCGAGAGCATGCATCTTCCCTGTGGCTACAAACGATTGTGAGTCATGGACTATCTCTCAGTCCTTAAGAAAGAGAATAGGGGCCTTTGAGCTGAAATGCTATAGAAAGATTCTCAGAATATCTTGGGCAAACAAGAGGAGAAATATTGAAATCTCAAAAGATAGGGAACATCAAGGAATATTGGCTAATAAACAGCATCCTTTCTCGGAAGCTGAAATATTTTGGTCATATCAAGCGCCACGACGGATTAGAAACAATTATAGCAGAAGGCATGGTACCAAGAAGGAGGGGCAGGGGCAGGCCGACACGAAGATGGGCACAGGATATAAGTGACTCCTTGAGTATGAAAGGACATGAGGTGGGAGAGCCGGTGAGAGACCTAGTTTCTTTCAGGCAGACTGTGATGAGAGCGACGTTTTGCAAAGGACCTGCTACATGATGATGATGAGATATAGTAAAAAGACAAGTATGCTTTGTCTAATACAAAGTCTTTATTATTAGGTTTACTCAATGACAATTGACAAGATCCTGCGGTTCCACAACGGACAGTATGACAAAGCTCACCATTGTTTGGCCTATACCATGAATGAACTTAAAAGAAAATTTCCTGAATTCGGTAAGCAGTTTTTGTTTGAACTAACTTCTTGACAAGATATTACATTGTGTAGTTTCTTTTTTTTAATTTTTTGTTTTTCTTAATTTCTATACAATGGGACCCCATAACTCACACCAGTTGTAAACTGTTGGGAAAGTTTTTGTTGTTCATCCACATGTGGACTTTGGTCTTGTTCCAGAACTTGAGTATTGCAAATTCATTTTTACAGATCTGGCTTATTTGTATTAGACTGTTGGTTCCTTGCCTCTCAGGCAGACGACTCTGGCTTGAATGGAAACACCCTAATTCATCGCTTTTAATGACATGCTTGTTGAGGGATGGTGGATTTATTCGCTTGAATGGAAACACCCTAATTCATCGCTTTTAATGACATGCTTGTTGAGGGATGGTGGATTTATTCTTCTCACTAAAATGGAACCCTAGAACCTGCACAGGGAGAATAGGAAAAAATATAACTAGAATGTTCTGGCCCTGAAACTGACAGGGGTAATCAAAAGAGACTAAGTAATATAGGGATGGGAGTTTTAGAGACATGGTGAAATAAGTTGGAGGGAACATGGAGTTGCTCCCCAAAATATGGCAATGGATAAGATGGCTCAACAGAAGCTAGTTAACTCTTTGAGTCCCAGAGGGTTTAGCATCACAGGCCCAAGGGGTTGGTCAAGAGACGTAAAATCGGCGCATTATGTGTTCATTGGGCTTCTAGGCAGTAACCCATGAATGTGTGATGCCTTCCTTGGGACTCAAAGAGTTAAGAGGCAATATTTCACTGAAGGTTAAAAGGCAGAAGAAAAAAAATTAGTAACACAAAATGAGTTTAGAGCAAGCTGACTTAATTTACCAGTTTTTAGAACTTTATTGTAAGAACTGCTTAAAAAATAAAGCAAATATAGGAACTAAATAAACATCTTAAATATGTTTAACAGATTCTGTTACATTTGTTTTATTAAACAATTATTTTTATTAGTAGAGCGAGGATTACAGGTGTGTTAAAAATACATATTTGGAATAATCGCCGTGACTAATTCAGTTATTTAATTATTGCAGGGAACCATGAACGAAGGCCATCTTATTGTACAAATGTACCATTGATAAATGGTAAGTTAACACTTGGCACACATTTAAGATGAATGTTTTGCTGTGTTAACATTGTGTTCTCTCTTAAGCTGCTGTTTGCTGGTTTTCTCCCCATAGATGTTCATCATTTAGTTTCTCCTGATAGATGTTCATTGTTTAGTTTCTCCCCATAGATGTTCATCGTTTAGTTTCTCCCCATAGATGTTCATCGTTTAGTTTCTCCCCATAGATGTTCATCGTTTAGTTTCTCCCCATTGATGATCATCGTTTAGTTTCTCCCTATAGATGTTCATCGTTTAATCTCTCCTGATAGCCACTTGCAATTTTTTTCTGAAAGAATATTTTATGTAATAATATCTTTCTCAATTATTGTTAGAAAAAGTTTTTCAGGGTTATACAGAGCCATTTCTGATGTATGGAAGGAAATCATGAGAAATAATCAGATTAGTGAGATATGATCTGAGATGTGGTATAATAAAAGAATAATATAAACATGGACAGATAAAAAGTAGGTAAATTAAAGTACCCTCTTCCACGCCTTCAGAAGTATTGTGCACACAGGACTAGCCCTATATTTTTTAGACCAATCAGCACTCAGTGGGCGATGTGGTCAACATTACGCTGACCATTTTTACTTCCCAGAACTTTACCAATTACCTATTTAAGGCTAGGTTGATCTGGAAGCAAGGTCATTTTAAAAGAAAAGCCACGCTCCATTAGGACTTGAACCCACCATCTTCATCTAACTGCTGTACTACAGCAGCTTCCAGATTTGAAAATGTGTTATCTGGAAACATAATAATGATAATCATTGCCCTCATCCACATGTACACAAAATTAACCAAATTTAAAATTGGTAAATCAGCCATGTGTACATGTGGTCTGGCATCTGAAACAACAGATCACATCTTCCAAGACTGTCCCAAATACAGTTCCAGGCGAAGCGTCTGGCCAAGAGAGACACAAATGGCAGCCAAACTTAATGGGCAAGTAAGTGAATTACAAAAGACAGGGAAGTTCATACTAGAGACAGCACTGCAGATATAGATAATTTCAAGTGAACAAAATAAGAAGAAGAAAAATCACCATCAACATCATGTTGTTTCATGTATACATCACACATCAACATAGAACTGGTACTATTAGCCATCGCACGTTAGGGTTCATACTGAGGGGAGGATCTGAGCACCTATGGACATGTCCAGGGTGCAATGATAACCTAACTAACTAACTAACTAACTAACTAACTAACTAACTAACTAACTAACTAACTAACTAACTAACTAACTAACTAACTAACTAACTAACTAACTAACTAACTAACTAACTAACCAACTAACCAACTAACCAACTAACTAACTAACTAACTAACTAACTAACTAACTAACTAACTAACTAACTAACTAATTTATTATATTCTTGACTGCACCAGATAAAGGAGAATCTACAGTCATTAGCGTACAAACTATGGCAAGGACTAGACCACACATTAGAACAATGTCTTCTCCAGTAGATGCCAGTCAGAGAATGACACCTGTTATAAGAAATTATAGGATTTCTGATCAGGTAACTTTGAATTGCTTACACTTGCAACAGTAATCTATGCAGTATTATTGTTGAACTGTTCCACTTAAATAATTCTTTTTGCAGTATTAAATTTATATTTTTAATACAGCCTAGGAGAGGAAGTACTTTAAAATTTAAATTCATGTAATTTCATACAAGGAGTTGCCATGGTGGAGCGGCTAGATGCTTGCCTGCGGATAGGAAGGTCGTGGGTTCGCTCTCTGGCAGAACAGGACTTTTTTTTCAATAAACACCTTGAGTGGGTACCGGGTGCAGTCCCAGGAAGTAAAGGTGGCCAGGGTGATACTGACCACATCACCCATCTTGTGCTGATTTGCCTATAAAATAGGTCCAGCCCTTTATGCCCTGTACTCCTCAAGGCATGGAAAAGGGTTCTTCATTATAATTTCATACAAATTATTGTTGATGCTTCAATGATAAATTCCTCAGAAGTTGAGATGAGTAAATGTGATTTCCCCTGCTTGATTGCAATCTAGGAAATAGGATTTTCCCTGTTGGATTGCATTCTAGGATGGGACAATTTAACTCTTTGAGTCCCAGAGGGTTTAGCATCACAGGCCCAAGGGGTAGTCAAGAGACGAAAAATCGTCGCAGTATGCGTTCATTGGGCTTCTAGGCAGTAACCTGTGAATGTATGATGCATTCCTTGGGACTCAAAGAGTTAAATCATAGGGTGGTCAAAAGCTCAGTAGCAGACCAGAGACAAAACAGGATGTTTATTCCGGTTTTCTGTGGAATGTACTAGACAGCTTCACACCAAGCCTCAGTCGCTGCTTACAAATTACTTGGGATCTTACAGTGTTTCTTTGCTTCTCTGAATACAGTGAGATCTTGGTTATGGGACTTTCTTCCATGTTTTTTGCCATTTCTCTGTCTTTCCAGAGACTTTGCTATAGAGTGGCATGGGAATAATAGCCTATGATGATGCACATGTGACTAGCAAGACCCACTAGTGTTAACTCTTTCGCCCTGTAAGAATCTTTAAAAAAAAGACATCCAAACTTCATTAAATAAATATGCATTCTTATAATTCTCTGAATCTTTAGTCTAAAAAAACTAGAGTATAGTAGAAGAAGAGGCAGAAGCAGTTTAGAGTTTTGGTCAGTTGTTTTTTCAAAATCCAGGCGGTCGAAACCTGTGACCACCAAACAGACAGGAGAGTCTGAAGACCACTGCTTCATCGCAGTAGTCAGGTTGCTATAAATAGATCACTGTTACTTGCTTTTTTTTTTGCAAAGTTTGTTTTTTCAAACTACGAAAAAAGTATTCACTAAATACAAAGTAATGTATTAACTATTCTCTTTCCCTTTGACCGTGACAAATGTGTTTTCATAGACACTGCTATGTGCAGCAAAGGGACATTTTAGTGAGTTTATTTTGATGTTGTAATTATGTCACAGTGACCAAAAAGCAGGTTTTTTTCCACCTCAAATAATATCTCATATTTTGTTGATTTAAACTTGGTGTAAATTTAATTCCCACCATGTCTACATACTATGCAGTTGCAACTAGTACCAGAGTTGTTTTAACAGGTGGGGCGGCCACTGCCCAAAGATGTCTTTTCAAAAACAAGTAAATGCCACAAAAACCAGCTTAAATAAGGTGACAGGATTAACAGATTTCTCCATAGCACAAAGCCTGAGCAATATTATAGAGACTAAGTGTTGCCACTACAACATGGTCCCTCTCTCTGCCTGCCTTTTCTACTCCAAAGGAAAAGTAACATCAGCATGTGTGAAATGAGGCATACTGGTTTCTACCATGCCACTTTTAGGCTACAGACGTTTTGGCAGGTTGTCCAGTTTTACCACAGATCATCATCATGTGGCAGATCCTTTACAGAATGTCACTTTCATGACAGTCTACCTGAGAGAAACTTGTTTCTCACCAAAATTCCTGCCTTGCACACTTCCTTACCCAGTGGGTCTCTTACGTCTCATGGCCATCTTTGTGCTGGTTGGCCAGTGCCCCTCTTGTCTATTTCCTTTGCTTTGCAATCATCCACCATGGTGCTTGGGAGTCGCCGTAGCGTAGTATCTAGATGCTCGCGTGTGGATTGGAAGGTCATGAGTTTGCTCCCTGGCAAAGCAAGACTTTTTTCAAAAATTACTTTGACTACTGGGTCGACCCAGCCTTGAGTAGGTACCGGGTGCAGTCCTGGGAAGTAGAGGCGGCCGGCGTGATGCTGACCTTATCACCCATCCTGTGCCGATTGGTCTGTAAAAATATAGGCCTAGCCCTATATGCCCTATACGCCTTAAGGCGTGGAAAAGGGACCTTTACTTTACTTACCATGGTGCTTGCCAAAACCAAAATTTTTTAGTTTCTGAGACAGAATGCTGTTTTTAAGCTAATCTTGATGGTGTTTTTAAACCAATCTTATTTGGTGTTAAGATCTTTAAGGAGGTCAGTATTTATTTTCTTCTTGGTCCATTTTCACCATAAATCTCTTATTTTTTTAATCACATTTCATGCTAAAAATATTGTACACCATTCTGATTCTAAAAGACATCTGCATCAGCGATGGCCATTTCTCATTGTAGGCATTATTAGGACCTGGAGAAAATGAGGCACCTGGGTGTAACCAGAGGGTCTGGCCGGCTCACTACACTCAGGGGAAGGCAAGACGGACATATAACCAGACTGACCGGTACCATCAATATTGGAACTCTGTGCTGGTTGCTGAAGATGAGGACAGAGCACACATGGGAATGCCCAGAGTGATCTGATGTCAATTCTTGACTCAACTCAACTCATTGTAGGCAGAACAAACTGAGCTTTACAAATGTGTCCCTCCCCCTGAAGGCTAATCCAGACCACAAATGCTTTAAGAATTCAGTTGTGTTGGCCAAAAGCCTCAAACAACACAGTGTTGCTGTAAACAGACACAACACCATTAAGTCCGCTAACGAACAAAGTAAAGCAGAAAAAGAACTACTCTCTGAGATCCGCACTATAATGTGGCAGAAGCAAATGTTTTTTTTGTGACCTTATTAAAGTGTCAGTTATGAACTGAGGAGTGTCTCTGCAAGCATGCTGAAGAAGATGGGAACAGACAGGCATCGTGCAAAGTGGCATGCTTTGCTTTGGAAGAGGTGAGGTGCATTGTCTGGAACTTTTCTCCAGGGCACGCATATGTGTTGGGAATTGAACAGTCGGACAGACGGTCTGGCTGAGTACAACTTGAGGGAATATTGATGCATATAAGGCAGATGCGGTTAGGGCCTTGTGGGAGAATGTACGATTCGGAGGAGCATATGGATCACCACAGTCTGGTGAGTGTGTTTTAAAAGGGAGTGATGAGGGGGTCTGGCCGGTACACGATGCTTAGAGGGAAGGTAAGACAGACATTTAACCAGAATGCTACTGATTCCAATTGGTATTGGGACTCAGCTGCTAAAGATGGGGAAAGAGCGCTTGTGGGAATGCCCCGAGTGCTGTGATGTCGGGTCTGTATGTGAAAGTAAAATACACACATAATGTTTTGCTGCTAGTATTTTTTCAGCATGTATGTTTTCCTCCCTTATGTTATATTTGCAAATGGGAATTGGACTTTTGTTGCTGATAATTGTAATTACCCTTAATTTACTTCCAGCAGTAGCTGTAAAGAGGAGCGGCTGGCCGAACAGTTAGAACGCTGGGCTCTCATGCGGTAGACCTGGGTTCGAATCCTCGGTGAGGCTGGAGATTTTTTCTGTCAAGGGCAAAATAATATCCTTACCTGCACAGTCGTGGCGACACCACTAGCCATGCAGCCTTAAATTTGCATGCTCAAAAGATCCTCTTGGCTATACCGCAGTAGTAGTTTAAAAAAGCAGTAGTTGGCAGGTTTTGTTTTTGGCAGTAGCTGTATAAACAGTTTGCTAAAGAGAAAAATCAAGAGTTACAATAATTATATATTTTAGCACAAGTCATCTTGTCTGCCTGTGTTTGCCCTGAAAAGGGTGTTTTAGCCTATTGTGTTGTGGTCTACGGCTTTGCTGCAGTATTTGTAACTTTTGCCAAATACATCCAGTGTCACTAAACTTTTAATTATTTGCATCTTATGACATGCTTGTGAAGGGGCAGGGGTGGGTCTGTTCCCCCCACTCTCTCCCCTTTTCAGACGGGGGTCACAGAACTCAGAAGAAGTTCAGACCTAAATTAGAAATTGACACTTAGCCCCCCTATGCCCCACCTTCCCCCTTTAAAAAAAATTTTTAATCATAATAGGCCTATCTGTCATCTACAATTTTGCTGCAGGTAATAATTTGTTTAAACAAAAAAAATTTCAGTCTTTTCAGGAAGCTGACAGGTGTTTAGCCATGAGCCTGTTGGCCGCAGACTATGAAGAGACAGGACAGTTGATTGAATGTGCATGCTGCTTTGGCAACTGTGTGTTTGATAACATGGTGCAGTGTATGGAAGGACACCTTGTTTGTGTGGACTGTCTCAATTCTTTTGCCGAGGAAGCTGTTTTTGGAGCTGGAAAGGTGACCATAAATAATTAGATGGAATCTTTATTACATTAAAATTATTTATGCATTTATTTGTTTGTATCAGAACACAGGTTTCTATCCTTTTTGTTGTTGTTATTGTAATGCAGAATTGATGGTTTTGACATCTGTGTATGCTTTAGTGTGTTTGTTTAGCAAGGCAATGATCTGAATTCAGTAAACTGCTGGGAGAACTTTTAATTAACTGCTCTAGAGATGACCCAGCCTCAGTAAATGGGAAACAGTTTCCACAGTTGTCTGGAAAGTAAAAGTGGCAAAAAGAGAGTTGTTCACCCAAACTCGTTATGGGTATTCTAAAATATCTAAAAAAGCTTAACACTCTGTTGGTAGTAATTGCCATAATGTTCTTCATCATCATCATCATTTGTGTACTCTTAGATGTCACATGGGGCTCACATTCGATTCCTCCACTCTGCTCTATTGCTTACAACTCTATTAATTTTTGATGTGGAGTTTAGTGCAGCATTTTTGGCTTCTTGTACTAATGTTTTTCTTTATGTTTCCCTTGGACATCAACTTTTTCTAAGACCGTTTGTTTCTCATTTTAGTGCTTGCTTTGTAATTCTTTGCTCGTTTTGTCTGAGTATGCCAAGGAAATCTCCAAACATAAGAAATGTCTTTACCTTTATAGAAAATTTTAACAGCTTCAATTATTTCACTCTTTCAATACCAGTCATCTCAACACATGTTTTGAATTGCAAATGTTATATTATGTTCTTGCTGTCTTTTACCACAGAGAATGTTATATTAATTCATTACATTGGAATTATTTTTTTAATTACTTTTGTAATGCTGTGCCTTAGCTGAATTTCTTTGGACCTAGTATTTATTCTTTTGAGCTCAAATTCCTTGGACGGTAAGTGAAATTAACCACATGGAACTAAAAAGAATTAATTTATTGGTCATATGAAAGTTGAAGACCATTTAAAGCTTTAATAAGACAGTTGACAGCATGAGCAATAGATTGTCTGCTTCAGGTGCCAAATTGTAGTAAGAACACAAGAAGGCATATCAGATGTTTTCAGAGTCCGTAAAGGTGTGTGACAGGGATGCTAGTTAGTTAGTTAGTTAGTTAGTTAGTTAGTTGGGTTATCATCACTGCACTTCGGACATGTCCATAGGTGCCCTCCCCTCAGTATGAACCCCAACGTCCGATGGCTATAAGTACCAGTTCTATGTTGATTAACATGTCTTCTGGCATGTCTGATGTGCGTCTCGTTTTTTGCTATTCCGATCTTAATTCCCAAGTCTGCCATTCTGGCGAGTGATGTGGATTCACTGCCCCCAAAGTCCTCTATCCTTCCCATTTCTCTGAGGGCATTGATAATATCAGCATGATCCATAAGATGACCGTCGATAGTGATAGTGGATCCAGTCAACCTGTCAGCTCTTTCATTTCCATTGACGCCTGCATATCCCGGAACAAAAATAAAGGTGACTCCACGCACAGTGGACTTCTGTAATGATTCAAGCCATTGTCTTCGCACCAAACCTGCCTGAAACCTCCGGATCATACTCATTGAATCACTGAGTATACATACGCAGGTGTATTTTTGTGTTTCGAGCCAGACAAAAGCTTGCGTCACTGCCATTACCATCGTCATGCTGCTGGTTGTCATGGAGAAGGCGCCATTGGCTTCTTTGACTGTTCTGCTCGCTGAGCGTGCTGTGAATGTCCATGCACTTCTTTTTTGGCATATAACTGATCCGTCTGTGTAAATTAGTGCATCTTCTTCATCTGAATTTTCACTGATGAGAGCGTTGACCTCTGCATTAACAGCAACAGGATTCTCTTCTCTACATCGCCTGTTGAGTGTGGGAATACAGGAAAATGTACAAATAAACGCATGAGGGACAGGTATCCACTCTGCACCAGAGGTGATGTCAGTTAGGCTGCATATTTGCCTAATATCTTCTGCCTGACCTAGCCATGATTTTCCCCTCTTCAATCTGTCACCCTTTTCACTAAAAATCACTTGATGCAGTGAGTGTATCTTATCAGCACAAATTATAGGGTATGCCCGAGCCCTCCAGATCCTGATCCTTTGGTTCATAGTTGGAAAGTCAAGTAGATACCTCATTGCTCCACATGACGTATCTCTTGTACATCCCAAAATAATGCACATGGCTTCATTTTGCACCTTTTCAAGTCATTCAATCTGGGCAGCACTGACAGTGAGGATGGCCAGAGCGTATTCAATGGGGGAAAGGACCAGATTGTAGAATAGAAGTACTAGTAGTCTTTGCTCGATATTGGAAGCAGCCATAATCCTCATTGCAGATAGACCTTTGCGTGCTTTGTTATCACATGGTCAACATGTTCCCTGAATGACAAACGATCAAACCTCACCCCGAGAAACGTCATAACGTTGGTTCTGATCAATACATTATCATGCATTTTGGGATGTGCTTTCTCCCTACTCTTAACATTTATGTAGACATAATGTCTAAAGAAAAAAGTTCTAATACAGACAACATAGATCGTTATAATCATGAGGAAGTACAGACAAAGTAATCAACTCACTCACATTAAATGATCTATTATTTGTTGATGACCAGTGCTTGTTCTACAATGAGGAAGATTGACCACACTAAGAGGCTAAGCTCAGCATTCAGTAAACAAAACATAAAAATCAATGCAAACAAAACTGAAAATGTTTAAGTCAGTAGAACGCTGGTCCACTACACATACTGCTGAATGGTTCTGGCTTGAAATTAGTTATGGAATTTAAATATCTAGGAAGTGTGATCACGGAAGATGTCAGAACTGACAGAGAAACAAAAACCAGATGCCAGAAAACAAGTGCGCGTATATACCAGTTGTCAGCATTATTAGGACATCCAAGAGTAACTGAGTGCAAGAAAAAACGAGTTACAAACAGCACATCCATACCAGTATTGAGTTACTGGTGCCAAACATGGACATTATCTTAAGCGAATATTTGCAAAATCACCACTTGCGAAATAAGATGGAGAAAAGCCACAAATCTAACCATCTTAGACTGAGTGAATAATGATACTATCAGGCAGATTGTGGGAACAGAACCTTGTATTAGATTCATTGAGAAGCAGCAGATAAGTGTTTTGACCATCTAATTAAAATGTAGCAACATCAAAAACCATCTCAGGCACTACATCTTCGAAGATCAGCTACAAGGCCCAGAGGACGGCCACAAAAAATATGGATGAACACTAAATAAACTTACACCTAAATGGCATGACGGTAGCCTGTGTCAGTCAGCATGCAATAGAGTGCAAATTATTTCTAATGGTAGAAGTGGTTTATGATTATAACAGTGATGATATTTCTGCCCCCCCCCCCCTTTTCCCCCACCATGAGGGTAATAATGAGAGCATTCTTCTTCTTCTTCAGCATTCTGAGTCCTTGAGGTTCTGATTGCTGCAGATATCACCCATCTCCATTCACCTCTGTGATTGGCCTTCTCTTTCCAGTTGGTGACACTAAGTTTGCAAGTCTGTCTGGACATTATCTCTCCATCTTATTCTTGGTCTGCCTCTGGTCTACGACCATTTATCTCCCTTGTATATAATACAGTTTTTACTTCTCTATCATCGGACATTCTTTCTGTATGCTCCAACCATTTCAATCTATTAATAATTTTGATTGTTTAAGGTTGTCTGTAAATAGCTTGAGCATAAATAGAGTTATTAAGCTACAACATATTCAACATTGATATAACAGTTAGTAGCTAATAGGCCTACGACTGCCAGCAGCTGCTAAAGAGGAATGATCATAATGCAGAAGTACTTGGAGAGCAGTAAAGAATGTTCTTAATAAGGGTTGTGGTGCATTACTGACATGCTGTAGTCTAGGAATCAAATTGCCATATGATTGTATTTTTTTTTTCAGGCATCACTTGAGTGTATGGCTACTGAATGCACGTCTATTTATTCTGAAGGTATTTTTCTATTTGCCGGCAAATAAATTTTCATTTACTTTGTTAATTTGTTTTACTTTGTATCTGTCTATGCTGCCTGAAAAAATTACATGTACTATAGCCTCTTGAGTATTGTACGTGTTTCATAATAAATACTTTCTCTTAGTTTAACATGTTATATTATTTTTTTTTTAAACTAGCATAGCTTAAAATGAAAAACAATTTTAATTGCTACATTTTTATGTTCAAATTTGTCAGTGTAATATGTTCATCTTGTGGTCTGACTAATTGGATTACATTTGTTTAGGTACTAATCGAGGTAAAAACTCTAGATAGATGAACTGCAGACTCTAGAAAGATAAACTAACTGACATATTCAACTTAGATTTATACACTGCATAAATAAGAATGCTCCAACATCACAGAAACAGTTTCAAAACTTGCTGCAGGAAGTATCATATCAAAATAAACACTGAAAACCCCCAGAAATAATGAGAGTAAATAGAACACCAGTTTAACATAGGAGGAGTGACATTAAAACAAGTTCAGTATCTAGGTAGTGTAATCACTGAGCATGGAAGACTGGACAGAGAAATAGAATCCAAAAGGCCAAAGGCTGTTCTGTTCTTCGCTATTGCGTGCATGCCATCCCATGTCTTCTCCATCTTTTAAACTTTACTCTCTAGCTTCCTTTTCTATGAGTTTTTTGGTCTTTATTTCAGTGCCCCTGTTGGTTCCAGTGAAAAGATATTCTAGTTATATTGTTTTCAGATTTTCTCAGCATGTTTCCTTTCCAGTGTCAGCTTCCTTTCTTCGCCTCTTGGTCCACTAGAACTTGTTTTGTTCTCTCCCACAGCTCAGCATTTGTAACATCAGGTAATTTAATCCCCTCTATTCTGTTCAGGCATCAGTTATTGAATGTTTGTAGTTTCTGCTCCATACAACGGTACTGATTGACATTATACATTTTTTTTAAAAGTTTAGTATTGGTTTTAATTTCATTAAACCTCGACACATTTCCTAATACAAAGAAAGCTCCTCTTGCCTTTTGTATTAAAAGTTTTAAATCTTTATCTACACTGCTGCCTAAATAGGTGTACATCGTACAGTTTTAACATTTCAGGTGCCAATTCTGTAGATTTTCCTCGGTGAAGGGAGGTACATCGATGATCCTGACTCTTTTTTCTTTCTCCTAATCATGTCATATTTCTTTTATTAAAAGAGCCTTCTCTCATCTTGGCTTGTTGTTGTTGTTGTTGTTGTTGTTGTTGTTGTTGTTGTTGTTGTTGTTGTTGTTGTTGTTGTTGTTGTTGTTGTTGTTGTTGTTGTTGTTGTTGTTGTTGTTGTTGTTGTTGTTGTTGTTGTTGTTGAAAAATACATCACAGTGACCTAATCTTTTATAAAAATGCCATAATTAGGGATTTAAAAAAAGTAAAGAACCCTTTTCCCACGCCTTTAGACGTATAGGGCATATAGGGCTAGACCTGTATTTTTATAGACCAGTTAAAGATATAACTAAAATTAAACAGCAGATAGCTAGCACTCATAGGATGACCAGACATAAAATTTAAAACAACAAAGGATTTACTTGGTCTGTTTTTTCAGGTGAACTCAAGAGATGCTTGTCTGAAAAAACATGGAAGAAGCTGGAGGAGAGAACACTTAAGGAGAATCTTAGCAAGGCTAATTTTGAAGATCTTGTTGTGTAAGCAATTTTGTCACAACATAGAAGCAGTATGATTTGTTTTGGTTCTCGCTCTTTATCATACATACACACACACTCATTTTCTCTCTCTTTCTGTTTTTCTTTCTTCCTCATAACTCTTTTTCACTCTCTACCTCACATGGTCAGTCAACTCTTGTTAATTAGGAATAGTATTCATAGAAAAACCTACATAATGGAGTTCGGTTGATGTACATAGAATCAAGGCATTTATGCTAAAGTGTTAGGTTAGCAGGATACTGGTCACTTTATACTTTCTCGCCAGAGTGTACAGCTGGTGAACGCGAAGAAGAAGAAGAAGATTTTATATATATCACATTTAATGTGTTGTTACTACATAGTAGTACATATGAAAAAAGTATGTTAGAAAATATTAGCCATAGTAGATTTACTGAGCTGAAAAATTATAAGTACATAGAAAATGCTACGAAATAAACTGAAAGGCACATTAATATACATAAATACTGAGAATTAGAGGCAGGTGTAATTATTTTAAATGCATCAACCATCGAGTGCCGTTTGGTCTGTAAAATATTAGTTTAGCATTATATATAGGAAAGATAGTTATGTTAGAAAGAGAGCAGAATTACTAGAAGAAAGACATTTAGAAGGTCCCCCTTTACTAAAGGAAAAAGTTAGCAATGCTCCTAAACATATAAAGAAAGGAAACTCAACTGGTCCAGATGAAATTTCAGTAGAAGAATTAGATGTACTGGGGGAATTTGGGGTAGAAATATTAACTAAACTGTTGAATGACATTATAACACTGGATACATACCAAGTGATACGATGAAATCTGTATTTATTGTGTTGCCCAAAAGACCTGGAGCAATTGAATATAAAGAATTTTTTACAATCAAGTTAGTAAAGCATGTCACCAAATTACTACTTAAAATTATAATGAGAAGAACAAGAAGAAAAATAAGAATGGAAATGGGTGAAGAGCTGTATGGATTTATGGAAGGTAAAGGGACAAGTAATGCAATATACATATTACAAACGTTGATAGAAAGGTCAATGGACATACACATCGACTTATATTTGTGCTTTATAGATTATACTAAAGAATTTGACAAAGTTAAACATGAGGAGATGATAAAAATGTTGGAAGACATTAGTGTAGATGGGAAAGATCTCAGAATAACTAAAAACATTTACTGAGACCAAGCAGCAACAATTAAAATGGGGAACAGATTGGATACTTTTGAACAGATAAAGCAAGGAGTAAGACAGCAATGTGTCTTATCCCCAGGCCTTTTCTCTCTATTTAGTGAAATAATTTTGAGGGAAATTAAAGAGAAAGCAGTAATAAGAGTTGGAGGAAGCAATATAAACAATATCTTGAAATTTCAGTGAACAAATTAAGAAGAATTTGGAAGCAACAGAGATGTGGTTTCTGAGACGAATGTTACAAATATCTTGGACAGCCGGAGTAACTATAACAATTGTTTCAAAGAAGCTAATGAAAGTAGATCTCTATATACAACAATAAGAAAGAGACAAACACTGTTCTTTGGCCACATAATGAGTAGAGAGACATCGGAGAACATCGTGACAACTGGAAAGATTAGTGGAAAGAGGAGTAGAGGCAGACCAAGAGAGACGATGCTGGATGGGTTGAAATGATGGCATGGAGGGATATCATTAAGATAGTTGTTCTAGGCAACCAGGGATCGTGATCTGTGGAGATACATAAGCCTACACCAGTTGGCAGGGCACATGATGATGATAATTATATGCTCAATACACATTTGGGATGAAAGGGTCCTTTACTTACTTAGTTATTTACTTTTTATCTCCCAGTATAGCTTAGTTCCTAAATTAACTTGCTCCAAGTCCTTTGTTGACTTGTTTTAGTTAGTTGCATTTTACAGCTGGGAATCTTTGTTTCAGCTTCTAGCAAATGGGTCACCTCATAGGTGCTCTGCACCTGTGTTAATGAAAAACACAGAATTTCCATCACTATCGTGTGGAAAACTTGACAGACTGCAGTCTCAGCAAATTCACTAGCATACACACTCATTAAAAGCATAAGACAGCCGTAAGAAATGCTAACACAAACAGTCCGACATTAGAAATGCACTTAATCATCAATGGAAGCAGCAGCTAAAACAGATCAGCAGTTGCACATGCGATTAATTTTAACCACATAAGGCACCACCACCTCTGAGGCAACAGGCCACTTGCTATTTTCTGAATCTACAGTTCACAACACCACGTTGGTCACAGCTGAAAAACATTCTAAATTAAATCCACAATTCACAGCGCCCTGTCATATACTCAGCTCAGTAGCTGGGGGACAGAATTATATCCTTTCAGTATACATTGGAGGGAATGCAATGGCCGCCATCTTTCTTAAGCAAACATTTGTCATGGCTTTAAAAAAATGAACTTGCTTATTCTTCATTTTGTAGCAATAACAGAAGAAAAGTGCTACAATGTTAATAAAAAAAAAAATATATAAGTATTGCATTGCTTGGCAAATGAGAGATGTAAATGTTGTTTGTATTCACCAACATTAAACCCCGGTGGAAAGACTTGGTTGTTCGTCCATTTCAGGACTTTAACTTTGTTCCAGGACACGAGTTTTGCATGTGCATCCATTTTACAGATCTTGCTTATTTGTATGCAGACTGTTGGTTCCTTGCCTCTCTGGCAGATGCACTCTGACTTTCAAAGAAACCCCCAGTTAGTCAACTCTTACAAAATGCTTGTTAGGGAGGCAGTGGGTCAATTCTTGTTTTTCCCCAGTGGGACCCCAGAACCACATAAGGAAGATAATTAAATGACTAGATGTTTACATGGCTTCACAGTATGAACAGAAGCAAATTTTATTCCTTCATGTTCACAGGTGCCCTTACTGTGATTTTGCTGCAATACTGTCCCCTAGTACAAAGGTGTTTCGTTGCGTCAGAGACAAGTGCTGTAAGGTATGGTCTTTTTTCTTTTTGTCAGGTTTATTTCTTAGCTGCTGAGAATAATTGTAATTTTATTAGAGTAATGAGAAAATAAAAAAACACAAAGTGGACCTGGTCATCTATACAAAACAAAACACACAAAAAAACCCCAATCATAATTGGATTGGTCTTCTCTTAGTGACTAATATTATATATACGATGTATATATATATATATATATATATATATATATATATATATATATATATATATATATATATATATATATATATATATATATATATATATATATATATATATATATATATATAATAAACAGACAGTGTGTTAATCAGCACCCATTGAAAGAAGTAGAAAGATAGGACACACTAGACAATATACAAATCAAAAGCTATAGCTACTGTGCTGGGAATCAAATCTGTCACCTCCAAATTGCATGTGTGTCTCACTGTGGAAACAAATGTGTTAGGAACATGATAAACTAGGCACCCCAAAAAAGGGTGTCTTCATTGGCAATATCTATCGTACAACTTGAAATCCACAACTATGGAATACAGACAGAATTAATCTCAAACCTTTTAAATGACACTATAGTTTACATTAACCAAGCATAGGTCAAATAACAAACACAACAACAGTTACAAACTTATCAGATCGTCAAAACAACAAACATTTAAGAAGGAGATTCGATTGGTCAGTTCCATTGTGTTACACATAATTTCTTAGTGACCAGGCCGCTAGCTTATCTGTTCAGTCCAATCACAGATCTTTTATTACAGTGACCAACACAGTTAACATGTTTGCTTAGTTACTGATTGATCTTCTATTACATGACCAACACAGTTAACATGTTTGCTCAGTTACTGATTGATCTTCTATTACATGACCAACACAGTTAACATGTTTGCTCAGTTACTGATTGATCTTCTATTACAGTGACCAACACAGTTAACATATTTGCTCAGTTACTGATTGATCTTCTATTACAGTGACCAACACAGTTAACATGTTTGCTCAGTTACTGATTGATCTTCTATTACATGACCAACACAGTTAACATGTTTGCTCAGTTACTGATTGATCTTCAATTACAGTGACCAACACAGCTAACATGTCTGCTCAGTTACTGATTGATCTTCTATTACAGTGACCAACACAGCTAGCGTGTCAATTCTTACATACCTTAGGTATCAGTGATATTTATTAAGTGTTAAGATTATCAGAAGGGGAAATGTGGAGTGGTTGTCAGTTACACTTTCAATGTTAAATAATAGTAGTAATTTAATCAATGATATCTTTTTCAACCTGTTTAGGTTATAATTGGGTTATATATATTTAGTTTTCTTCTTATTTTATTTGATAATTTTGCCAAGAGTATGTATTTGAGAGTTTATTAAATGATCTGGGATACTATTATTATGTCAGACAAATGTTACGTGATAGGTTAAGAATGATTGTAAAGAGTAAAATGTTTTGTTATATTTTCCAGCGAACATGTCGTGACTGTGGTGTAGACTGGGCTGAACATGAAGGTCTGTCATGTGCGGCAGTTGAAACAAAAGATGAAGCCTCTTTGCGCAAAGAATTGTGAGTATATTTATTGCAGTTATTTGTTTGTTTCTGACAGGACATGTACCTAGAAAATCTGCTAATGTTATTACTTGAATGCCTTTGTGTTGAAATTCACAGGAAAATAGAAATTCAGGAATACATAAAACACATACAGAAAGAAATTAGAGACAGATTGATAATACTGGGAGGATATCGAGTGAGCTACAGGATATAGTAAATAATCGGATGGCTTCCCCTGAGTGGATTCCAGAGATCCATTTTGGGGGCCCAAAGAAAAATGGACCCATTACCCACCCCCCAACAAGCCTGTTTTAAAAGTCAACTAATTAGGGGTGTTTCCTTCGAAGTCAGAGTGCATCGGAAATTCCTGAGAGGGAAAGAATCAACAGTCTGCATACAGATAAGCAAGATCTAAAAAAAAAAACAGACATGCACACAGAACTCAAGTTCTGTAATAAGAATAAAGTCTAGAAGAGGACGAACAACCAGAATTTCTACCAGAGTTTAGAACCAGTGAATGCAAAGAAGAAAGGAAAAGGTTGACTTGGCGTGAGTCCGGTGAGGGATATAGGATATAATGCAATGTTACAACCAATGAAAAAAAACATTTTTATAGCATGTGTGATTCTTGTATAACCACTTGTGGATCCTCACTGGAGTTCAGGGATTAGTACACTGTGCTGGGTTTCTTGATGTATGATCTATGGGAGTTGGCGGCAGCATTTCTGGAGATATTAAAGTAATCCTTCAAAAACCAGACCAAATGTACACAAGAATACTTGTCAACTTCATTACCTGCACATAACTACATGGATCACCACAGTCTAGTAAGATTGATGCAGGGGGGAGTGATGAGATGCTCGAGGCTCCGAGGAAAGGCAAGACGGGACGTTTAATCAGAATGCTGCTGGCACTATAAGTATCGGAACACTTCGCTGGCTGCTGAAGATGGGGATGGAGCGCTTATAGGAATGCCTCGAGTGCTGTGATGTCGGTTCTTGAATCAGATAAAATCAGTCAAATCAACTACATGTTTTACCAGGCTGGTATCATCAATATGGGTGCCGTAATTAAATTTTAGAGGTTGAACTGGGTTATCAGAGAGTTCCTTGTTGGCTTGCCATTCAGACTGAGATTTTGTAATCTCAGGGTGGCCAAACCTTCAGGTAGCAGACTGGAGGGGGCTAAATAAAAAAAATATCAGGAATACCTTCTGTTATCTTCTCTTTTGTATCGTGTACTTACCTCGTTTTCTTATCTTTGCCATCCAGTATGGCTTTTGTAAGCTAATTAAGTCCTAATAATTCTGGTCTAATCCCTTGCAATCACTATCTGTTGCAGTGAAGAGAAGATGACCAAGGCAAAAGTGCGTACATGTGTCTCTTGCATGGCTGTGTTCACAAAGGAGAGTGGCTGTAACAAAATGACATGCCGCTGTGGGACCACCATGTGTTATCTTTGCAGAGCTGCTAAGGTAGACTCAACTGTGTTTTTTCACTGTGTGGGTTCTGGGGCCCCATTTGGGGGTTGGGTGGGGGGGGGGGAGAGACCCACTGCCCCCAAACAAAAAAATAAAAGTTGGCTAATCAGGGGTGTTTAATTTGAAGTTGGAGTACATCTGCCTGATGACAACTGTCTGCTTACAAAAAAACCTTATCTGTAAAATACATGTGCACTCAAACAAAAAAGTTCTGGGACAACATTAAAGCCAAGATGTGTGGATGAACAACCAAAACTTTCCCATGCAGTTTACAGCAGGTGAACACAAAGAAAATAAAACTGTTTTTGGGGTTGAGAAGTAAATAAATAATTGTTTGTTTGTTTGCATTCACTGGCTGTAAACTAGCAGGAAGTCCTGGTTGTGCATTCATTTCTGGAGTTTGCCTTTATTTCAGAATAATGGAACAGAAAAAAAGTGCTTTTTTCCCATGGATTGAAATTACATCGAGAAGAGCTCATCATACATATCACAATGATTGGCTCTATACATGTTCAACAATCAGAATTTTATTTTTCTGTGTGGAACTGATAGGATTATATTTTTCTGTGGAACTCAGATAGGATTATATTTTTTTCTGTGTGGCCCTTTGATGAAATTGTTTCTCTGTGAATTTCCAACTGCACAAATTTTTTTTTTAATGGAGTTTTGTCTGGATTATGTTTCCTTTATGGATCTTTCACTGCAGTGTATTTTTCTCTCTGCCTGTATTAGTTTTTCTGTGAGATCTCTGATTGCATTCTGTTTTTCTGTGAGAACTCTGACTGCATTGTGTTTTTCAAGAGAACTCTGATTGCATTGTTTTTCTGTAAGATCTTTCACTGCATAAATGTTTTTATGTGAGAAATCTGACTGCATTGTGTTTCCTGTATGAGATCTCTGACTGCATTGCGTTTCCTGTATGAGATCTTTGACTCAGTTGCGTTTCCTGTATGAGATCTTTGACTGCATTGCATTTCCTGCATGAGATCTCTGACTGCATTGTGTTTTCTGTATGAGATCTCTTGACTGTATTGTGTTCAACTGTTAGAGCTCTGGCTGAATTATGTTTTTCTGTGTGGACCTCAGATGGAATTATATTTTTCTGTGTGGACCTATGATAGAATTGTATTTTTCTGTTTGGACCTCTAATGGAATTATATTTTTCTGTGGACCTATGATGGAATTATGTTTTTTTTTGGTGTGGACCTCTGATGGAATTATATTTTTCTGTGTTGTCCTCTGATGGAATTATATTTTTCTGTGTTGTCCTCTGATGGAATTATATTTTTCTGTGTTGTCCTCTGATGGAATTATATTTTTCTGTGTGGACCTCTGATAGAATTTTATTTTTCTATGTGGACCTCTGATGGAATTATGTTTTTCTGTGTTGACCTCGGATGGAATTATATTTTTCTGTGTTGACCTCTGGTGGTATTATATTTTTCTGTGTTGACCTCTGATAGAATTTTATTTTTTGTGTGTGGACCTCCAATGGAATTATATTTTTCTGTGTAGACATTTGTCAGAATTATGTTTTTCTGAGTGTACCTTGGCCTGAACTGTGTTGTTGGATGTCAATCAGAAATTTTGTTTTTCTGTGTGGAACTGATAGGATTATATTTTTTCTGTGTGGCCCTTTGATGATATTGTTTCTCTGTGAATTTCCAACTGCACACATTTTTTTTAATGGAGTTTTGTCTGGATTATGTTTCCTTTATGGATCTTTGACAGCAATGTATTTTTCTCTCTGACTGTATTAAGTTTTTCTGTAAAATCTCTGACTGCATTCTGTTTTTTCTGTGAGAACTCTGACTGCATTGTGTTTTTCAAGAGAACTCTGATTGCATGGTTTTTCTGTGAGATATTTCATTGCATAAATGTTTTTATGTGAGAAATCTGACTGCATTGTGTTTCCTGTATGAGATCTCTGACTGCATTGCGTTTCCTGTATGAGATCTTTGACTGCATTGGGTTTCCTGTATGAGATCTTTGACTGCATTATGTTTCCTATATGAGATCTCTGACTGCATTGTGTTTCCTGTATGAGATCTCTTGACTGTATTGCGTATCCTGTATGAGATCTCTGACTGCATTGCGTTTCCTGTATGAGATCTCTGACTGCATTGTGTTTCCTGTATGAGATCTCTGACTGCATTGTGTTTTCTGTATGAGATCTCTTGACTGTATTGTGCTCATATGTTAGAGCTCTGGCTGAATTATGTTTTTCTGTGTGGACCTCTGATGGAATTATATCTTCCTGTGTGGACCTATGATGGAATTATATTTTTGTGGTGTTGACCTCTGATGAAATTGTTTTTCTGTGTGTATGTCCGTCAGAATTCTGTTCTTATGTGTGGACCTTGGCCTGAATTATGTTCTTCTGTGTGGCCCTGGGACTGAATGTTTTTCTGTGCAAATTTCTGAATGAAATATGTTTTTCTTTGTGGAACTTTGACTGCAGTGTATTTTTCTGTTTGTGTCTCTGACTGCATTGTGAGTACAAGGTCAGCTACTAGACAACATCAGATCTCTGTACCAAACAAGCTCAAGCGTAGTTAGAACAAATGTTGGTGTGACAGATGAATTCATACTAAGAACAGGAGTAAGACAGGGTTGTGTACTATCACCACTACTATTCATTATATACATGGACAGAATAACAACAGCAGCAAACCATGTAATGATAAGCGAACTGTTAACTACACCAAGCAGTGAGACAGAGTTAGTTGAAAGAGATCATTATAATGAAAACATACAAGCCGATCCTGAAGAAGTACATCCCCAACTGAACGAAATACTTTTTGCAGACGACCAAAGCATAATTCATGAAAACGAAAAAGAACTTCAAATCCACGTAAATGCGCTACACACAGTCTGCAACGAATATAACATGAAGATCAGCATCACGAAAACAGAAATTATGAAAATAAGTAGAACACCTAATATACTAACTATTCAAGTTAACAATGAACAACTCAAACAAGTGCAGCAATTTAAATACTTGGGGAGCATCTTCACAGATGATGGAAGAATTGATAGAGAACTTGAGGCAAGATGTCAAAGGGCGAACGCAGTAACTTACCAACTCTCCCCACTGCTAAAACACCCAAGCATCACTATGGCACTAAAACGACAACTGATAAATTGCATGTTTATACCAACCCTCTGCTACCAATGCCAAACCTGGTCCCTTACAAGAGCACAGGAGAAAAAGATCACGACGTGCGAAATGAGATGCTTACGTAAGGCTGCCAATGTCACAAGGAGAGACAGAGTTCGAAACGAGAACATTAGAGCAATTGTAGGAACCACACCATGCGTACAATACATAAAGAAGCAACAAATAGAGTGGTTTGGCCACTTGATGCGAATGCAAACCGACCAACTGCCTCTACGAGCATACAACGAACAGCACTACTGCCCTAGAGCAAGAGGCAGACTGAGAGTACAATGGATAGACAATATATCAGAGATCCTGAGGCAACACGGACTAACAACAACACGTGCAATACACCTGTGAGGCAATTGTGGACAAGACAAGACAAGACTGCATTGTGATTTTCTGTGAGATCTCTGACTGCATTGTTTGTTTTTGTGTGTGTGTGTGAGATCTCTGACTGCATTGTTGTTGTTTTTTTCTGTGAGATCTCTGACTGCATTTTTTTCTGTGAGAACTGACTGCATTGTGTTTTTCTATGAGAACTCATGACTGCCTTGTGTTTTTCTGAGATCTTTGACTGCAGTGTGTTTTTATGTGAGAAATCTGACTGCATTGTGTTTCCTATATGAGATCTTTGACTGCATTGCATTTCCTGCATGGGATCTCTGACTGCATTGTGTTTTCTGTATGAGATCTCTTGACTGTATTGTGCTCAACTGTTAGAGCTCTGGCTGAATTTTGTTTTTCTGTGTGGACCTCGGATGGAATTATATTTTTCTCTGTTGACCTCTGATGGAATTATGGTTTTTTTGGTGTTGACCTCTGATGAAATTATATTTTTCTGTGTGGATCTCTGGTTGAATTATATTTTTCTGTGTGAATGTCTGTCAGAATTATGTTCTTCTGTGTGGACCTTGGCCTGAATTATGTTCTTCTGTGTGGCTCTGGGACTGAATGTTTTTCTGTGCAAATTTCTGACTGAATTGTGTTTTTCTTTGTGGAACTTTGACTGCAGTGCCTTTTTCTGTTTGTGTCTGTGACTGCATTGCAATTTCCTGTGAGATCTCTGCATTGTGTTTTCTGTGTGTCATGTATTTAAGATTACCTACGTACTAATGAGGGACATTGGGATGTGTCATATGTTTAAGATTACCTGCATACTAATGAGGGACATTGTCATATTTTTCAGATCACTTATGATCATTTCTGTAAGCATGCACGTGACCCAGGGAAAGATTGTAGCAAGTGCAAGGCTTGTAGTTTGTGGACTAACCCAGAGGTATGTTGGAATTACAGGAAATGTTTTATGCATTGAAGCCTATAAGGCACATGGTTGCTGCCCACATGGATTAGCATCTCAAGGTTAAGAAACAAACAGAAGCAAATCCAAGAAAGTCAAATCAACTGTGTAACAGTTATACTATGGCACCCCTACTTTTACCAATAACCTGGGGATTTTTCTTTCAGAAGTCTTCTTTTGTAGGTCATACTTTTGTGGTTTTTGTTGTTGTTGTTGTTGTTGTTGTTTTGGGAAGTCTTTTCATTAAATTTAAAAAAAAATAGAATAAAAAAATAATAATAAGTTAACATGCCAAACAATCCCTCGAAGCCTCAGAAATGTGGTTTTACAGAAAAATCCTTGGAATTACTTGACGTAGATAATCAGTTCTATTTGTACACTGCAAACTGTTGAGGCTCAGCCATAGACGAGGAGACTTTTTCACAGCTTTGAAGAGCAAAATCTCCTGTGTGAAAGTATCTCATGATTTAATCCTACAACATAACAGAAAAGTTTTAGATATGTGGCGACCATACTGATTCATACTGTGTCACAGACAAGGTTCAGAAGTCCGACCCTGAAATGTCTCACAGTGTGACAGAGAAGGTTCAAATGTCAACTGTCATTGACCCCACTTGTCTGAATGTCGGGCTTAAAGTCAGTCAGTCGGTCAAATATTCTACTCTTTGAAAGACAAGGTTCAAATGTCCTACCATAAATTCTTATACTGTTTGGTTGTTTAGCAGAAAAGTTTAAATGTCCACTACCACTGGCTCAATTGAGTGTTGGGACCTAAAGTCAATCAGTCAAATATCTTACTCTTTGACAGACAAGGTTCAAATGTCCTACCGTAAATTGTTTTACTGTTTGACACACAAGTTAAAATGTCCACTACCATTGTCTGCGCTCATCAGAGTGTTGGCACCAGTTGGGGAAGCCAAGTATGATGCATGTTTTCCCTATATTGTCATGCTAAATGTCCTGATACAGGTGTCTATGTGCAGAAGAAAACTGAGCTAGTTTGTGTATTTGTTGATGTCCTGGACCTGTGGATCTCTCAAAGGGTTCAGCCATTGATGAGTTGAAAGCTCAACATATGGATCTGGTGAGATTAAGCAGATAATATACAGGATGTGATGATTTCTTGGGTAACCAGAACAGTAGATGTTGGCTTTGCATTTATGAAAGTCTCCTTGGAGGATGGGAATGCCCATGATCTGCTCATGCCTTCCCCTGAGGGCCGACCAGTCCACATGTGGTTGCCCTGGAAGGGTACTTCAGGGGTAACTCCTTTAGATAAAGGGACAGAGAGGAAACCACACAAATAAGGCTACGAAACTAACTAAGAAGGCTAATCCAGTGAGCAAATGCTTGAAGGAAGTCAGGTGTGTCAGCTGAAGAGCAAAAAATATCGCAGCTATGTTGTAAACAGGTACAACATAATTGCACCACTCAGATGAATAATGAAGAATTCTATTTGTGAGTTTTCTGTCAAGACATCTTTATTGTTTATTGTTGCTGACATATTTTCAGTAGGAAGTCTAGGTAATGTAAAAGATGATAGCCCCTGGTAGATACTAGGGTTTGACAAATTAGGCTTTTATGTAATCCATTCTAGGTCATGGTATAATGAAATGAATGATAAGTTCCCTTTCGCACCCCTATTTGTTTTTAGAATAATTTCCATATAACAGAACCTAAAATAATATTTCAATGCTTTTTTTTTTCTGTTATTCAACACATGTGAATTATAGAAGGAATTATACAACATAGCAGTGGAGTGATTTATTTTATGTATATCTTGATTTAGAATTTGGCCTGAATTTTAAGTTTGCAACATTTATATTTGTCTTTTAAACAAAAATATTTAGGTGGACGATGAAAGGGCATTACAAGAAATCAAGAAAGAGGCAGAAGCAAAACATGCAGAATTAGGTAAGGTAATATCAATGATCAATATTTTAACTCTTTGAGTCCCAGGGGGTTTTGCATCAGAGGTTTTTTTTCCACTTGCCCAGAAGCTGATCCCCAAATTCTTGATATAGTATATCCAAAATGCATCACAAAGGAAGTTACACCACTTATAAGTAGGCACAGCCAATATTAAAGCAAAATGTGCAATAGTTGTTGTTCCAAAGCAATTTTAATAACACTATCATAACAGGTCAAAATATATTCTCCAGTGGCACAAACAGTGACTTTTCTAAAAACAATTGAATTCCTCATGTAGAAAAAACTAAAGGCACTGTAAACATGTCAACCTGTCCATATTTATAAATATATATGGTTTTAGATGATATGGTTAGAAGTACCAGAATGCTGACATTTGGACTAGCTGGTGTCGCATTACGAGGTGCTTCAGCACCACTATTCTCTTGTGTTGCCATGGCAGAATTAGTCAGTTTTGTCCTCTTAGCAGGAGGTAAATTATGCACACATCCTCATCAAAACTTGACTCGTCAATGGTTTGTGGAAATTCGACGTCGCTACTATCATTATCCAACTCCACATTACTTTGATCGATCCACTGTTTTATCAAATTTGATGTTTCTAAAGCAGTAAATGGCTTTGCTGGGCGTGATGATGATGACTGATCGGACATATTGTTTTCAGACAATTGTTTTGTAACATAGTAGACCAAACAAATATCGATTTAAAGCGTTAAAAACTCACCAGACCCAAACGAATGCACTCCACGTGTGTTCACTACACACTTGAGAACTGGAAAGGAAGTTTAAATTGAGCGGTTCGCGTGTAATTACCGATAAGTGGTAAATTAGAAACCGTCACACATCACGCACTGATTGGGCCGCCAGGTAGTAACCAATTAGCGCGTGATGCGTTCCTTGGAACTCAAAGAGTTAAAGATTTATCATTTGGTTTTTAAATTTTCTTTCTGTGGGGAATTGTAGTGAGTGAATGAGTGATGTTCAACCCCACCAGGACCACACCTGGTAACACAAACTGCCAACATTCAGATGAGAATCACCTGGGCACAAGTTCAGAAATCTGGTACAACCATTAGGTTATATTAGGGCCCTCAACAAAAACCGGGGTGGGGCTTTTAAATAACAAACATTTGTGTCCCATATATTGAGATAGACTATAGATAAAACAGTATTTAACTTAACAATGAAAGAATTTCAAATGTCCTAAACTTTGAATACTTTGGTTCCTTAATTAATACAATTGGAAACTTCAAAAAAGGTCATGAGAAGAATTGTTTTCATAAGGAGACATAAAGAGCCTTTCAAATCTGCGTCAAGTTGGATTATTTTCAAAAATGACTTTGGCTTATAGGTCAAGCCAGTCTAAAATAGGTGTCAAGTAAAATCTTTGGAGTAAATTTGGCTGGTGTGATATTGACCTATCCCCCCCTAGAGTGCAGATTGGTCTTCAGAAATATGTGTCTAGCATCATATGCCCAATACATCACTGGCAGGGGGAAGAGTCTGTTACTTCACTTACTAATAAGAACTTGTGACCTAAAAGTAGAGACATAATAGGGTTCTGCTTCTTATTCTTGTGGCTGCCTGAACCAAAGGTAACGGTGAAGGTGAGAGCATCAGCTTCATTGTACAGGGTTTTATCCCATATGGTTCAGACTCTCTCGGCAGAACATAGCTGCCTGCTGAGAGCCTCACACAGTGCATGATCTCTGTAGCTTTGGCGACCATCCCCAGGTATCTCTGTAAAAACTGCACTTGTGAACTGCATGGCACCACTGTAAAACGAACCCATGACCTTCAGAGTGACTTGATGACCACTTCTTCATGGAGTTTCATTGCCTAAACCACAGTCACATGAAATTGCTGAAGCATTTTTCTAATATAAATTTTCCACATTGTTCTTGGTCTGCTTCAGGTTCTATGTCCATATCTTCTTTTTGTGTTTGCATTGTATGATATGGCATCATAAGGCATTATACCTGACTGGGTAAACCATTTATCTGCTGTCACTGTACATAGTTCAAAATACACATTTACTTTTCCTGTCCTTATTGATCATCATCATCATGTAGCAGGTCCTTTGCAGAACGTCGCTCTCATCACAGTCTGCCTGTAAGAAACTCGGTCTCTTGCCAGTTCTGCCCCCTCATGAACTTTCACACTCAAGGAGTCACTTATATTCATGTGCCCATCTTTGTGTCGGTCAGCCTCTGCCCCTCCTTCCTGGTACCATGCCTTCTGCTATAATTTTTTTTTCACATCCGTCCTCATTGATATAAGATGAAATTAAATTAACATTTCTGTTCTATAGTATCAAGTTTAAAGTAAATAACAATCATAAGGGGAAACTTGAAAACTATGTAATAAGACAGAAATAATACTAGCTGTCTAATTTATAATAATTACATATTTCTTTCAGGATTTCACAAAATGAAACAGATTGGAATGCCAGAAGCTGACCACAAATGAGCAGCAGGAACAAGTGAAGGTTAAAGTGATCATGTAGATGATGCAATGCCTCCTAACAAGTTCAGAAATATTGCCTTTAAGCAAACAAATTATCTTTTTTTTTTCATAAGATACTTAAATTATGTTTCTTTCTTGTTAGCCAAGCATCGTAGTATAACAGATGATATGTAGCCAAGCTAGGATGCGCTTGGTTGCTTGGTATGCTGTGATGATTTGAAGTTTTTGACTGTTTGTGACTTCTTCAGTCAATCTTCTTCTAGGTCTCCCTTTCCATGTTTGTGTTGTCCAATACTTCTTCTAATCTCTTCATTTCTCAAACTCTTCTAGTTATGTTCGCAACTTTTTCCAAAATATCTAATTTTGACATTCAGTTAGTTACCTATCCTATTCTTTGGTTTATGTCCAAGCCTGACACTGATAACCAACAGCTGGAATAAAGATCACATTTGTAATTTGTCTTTATCTTTCTAAAGTAGAGACACACAAAATGGCGGATGTATGCTATGAAGATAAAGAAGAAGTCAACAGTTGAGCACGTGTATTTTGTTAATTTATTTAAAACTATCAAAATTGTATAATTTATTAAAATATTTGCAAATTTGATTGTTACTATTGTCAAATCTTCTGTTGAGATTGATTGTCAATGGAGACAAGTTTGATTGGTTGCTTTGGCAAAAGATAACTTTTTTGATTGGTTGTTTTGAAATTGGAAGTTATTTTGATTGGCTATATTTTCAATGGAAGATTAGTTTGATTGGGTGTTTTGTCAATGGAAAACTAGTTTGATTGTTTTGTTAGTAGAAGACTAGTTTGAGTGGCTGTTTTGTCAATGGTAGACTAATTTAACTGTCTGCTTTGTCAATGGAAGACTAGTTAAATTAGCTGTTTTGTCACTGGAAGAGTAGTTTGATTGGTTGCTTCTTTTTTTTCTCCCTTACATGCTTTGTTTTTACATTCATAACTTTACACTTTCTTTGGAGAAAGAATACTTATTACAATGTGAAAGTTATAGCTACTATTCTTTATAATATACCTGATTTTTCAAATCTTCTTCTTCACGTTCTTCAGCTGTAAACTTCAGCTGTGGAAAGTTTTGGTTGTTCGTCCACTACTGGACTGCAGTCCTTTTCCAGAATTTGAGTGTTGCGTGTGCATCTGTTTTACACATCTGACTCATTTGTAGGCAGACTGCTGGTTCCTTGCCTCTCAGGCAGATGCACTCTGACTTTAAAGGAAGCTCCCAGTTAGTCAACTCTGATGACATGCTTTTGGGTATGCAATGAGTCAATTTTTTCCCCCCTATAACAGGACCCAGAAACCCACACGGGAAAGTTTTCAAATGTGTCCCCAAATTTTACTCTCTCCATCCATGCAGACTCTTGTTGCAGCCTAATATTTGTTCTCTTTGTAAATTTTTTAGAGCTTTTGAGTTCCACATAAATTTTGATTTTATTGTTAAATTCCTTTTTTTAATTATCTAATTTTTCTTTTACTTGAATTTTGTATTTAATAATTACTTTGTCTCACGTTATTATTGTTTGTTATAAAAATTAAACAGATGTTTATATTTCATATTTGGATCTATTGAGGCTTGTGATTTTATTTAACATTTTTTTTAAGTTTCATGGTAGAACGACTGACTGACTGACTTTCTACCCCACCAGGATGTCACACAAGCGATAAACACCCGATGACTCAATGTGCCACCATGTGGGTGAGGATCACCGTGGAGAGGTCCCAGAAACCGCTTTCAGCCTTTAGGCCATATTTATGGCCAGGCTATATTGCGGCCCCTGGCAAAAGCCAGAGTAGGGCTTTAAATAACAAAAAATTTCATCCTAAAAAGGATGAGAATTTTTCATTGACTGACTGACTGACTTTCTACCCCACCAGGACATCACACAAGCGATAAACACCCGATGACACAAAGTGCCACCATGTGGATGAGGATCGCCGTGGAGAGGTCCCAGAAACCGCGTTCAGACATTTGGCCATATGTATGGCCTGCCTATATTGCGGCCCCTGGCAAAAGCCAGAGTAGGGCTTCAAATGACAAAAAATTTCGTCCTAAAAAGGACGAAACTGGTATTGTTATCTCTTGTTAAAATTTTTCATTGGCTTGGATTGGCTTTTTACCCCACCAGGACATCACACAAGCGATAAACACCCGATGACACAAAGTGCCACCATGCGGATGAGGATCACCGTGGAGAGGTCCCAGAAACCGCGTTCAGACATTTGGCCATAATGATGACCTGCCTATATTGCGGCCCCTGGCAAAAGCCAGAGTGGGGCTTCAAATAACAAAAAATAACATCCTAAGAAGGACGTAAGAAACAATTTTTCATTACAGGAAACTTATAGAAATATGGGCAATAAATATTCACTCTTTCTGTCACAAGACATTATTATTATTTGTGGTTAGCTTTTTTTCTTTTTGTTGTTAATCGACATCACTGCATAAAACGTTATCTTTTTACATTTAGTCAGAGAATAGCAAAGAAATCTGGCCTCCCTTGTGGTCACTTCGACTGTATTTAGCCTATTTGAAAGTAAAACATTTAGGATTTTTACTTGTGATGATTTCCCTTGTCCTGCTAAATTTCTGCTGCTAAACGAAATGGTTGTAGTGACCCTCTCTCCACAGAACGGCTAGCTGCATGTCTAGAGCATCAATAAAGTACAAACTCCATAGGTGCGGCAAAGACTTTCCACGGACCTCTGAAAACTACACTAATGAACCAATTGATACGCCTGTGAAATGACCCATGACCTTTGGAGCGTGAGATAACTGACTTGACCACTTCATTCCCCCCACCCCCCCAACCCCTCCATCTCCCCATCCCTCCCAAACACCATGAAAGAGAAACGGGTATTTAAAGATGAAAGGATGTACGTCACTGCACAATAACATAATGTTACTGAGAAAAACTTAATCCTCAGTGTACAATTTATACCGTAAACACAGCACAAAACAATAAAATATTTCAGATAATACACATTACATAAATGTCTTAAATAAATAATTAATAATTAATCAGTCCGCAGAATTTCTGGTCTTTCACCAACAATATCATAGAAAGCAAAAACTCCATAGCTGCTCAGAAAATCTCAGGGATAGCCAAAACACCTGCAAATGTCAACCAAATAGGTTGTTTAACTCTGAACCCTTGATATCCAGGGTCCCATTTTTGGGTTAAGAGGAATAGACCTACTGTCCAAGCATGTCATCAGTCAGTTAGTGGGTCCCTTACAGAAGATTGCTGTCTTCATGGCGGAAAGACTTTCCTTCTTTAGCCAGTTCTCCAGTCCTATGGGCTTTCATAGCCAGTATATCTTCAATGTCCTGTTTGACCTTCCAAGAGGTCGACGTCTACCTCATATTCCAGAAACTTCACCCTCTATCACCATTCTCTCCAGGCCACCATAGCACTTGACATATCTAAAATATTCAGATTTCAGGAGCGGATGCTGCTTTTCAGCCACTTCTCCTTGGTAATCAGGTCGTGCAAGATGTCAAAGTTTTTCTTCGTCTTGGTCGATAGTTTTCTAAGAATTTTTCTGTAGAATTTCAGTTCAAAAGCTCCGATTTTCTTTTTATAAGCTGAGTGAGAGTCCATGACTCACATCAATAAAAATTATGTCATACAAGGCGATTAATTAGGATGTTTCCTTCGAAATCGAAGTGCATCTGTCCGAGAGACAATGAACCAACAGTCTGCATATAAAATAAGCCAGATCTGTAAGACAGATGTGCAAGCAAAACTCAAGTTCGGGAACAAGATCAAAGTCCAGAAGGGGACACACAACCAGAACTTTCTGCCGGAAATCTTCTTCTAAAGAAAAATCCTTAACCTTTCGAGCATGAAGAAAACGGCTTAATCACTTTACTATGGAAACCCCTATCTATATATAATGAGTAGGTGATAGCCTAGCCAAGTATTTTTCATTATTAGAATGCAGTCCTTTTTTGCGATTCTAATATATATAAATTATAAATTTTTTATTTTGGCTTTAAAACCTATGTCGTCCGTAGCAAACCTTAGAAAATAAGAGAGGCTGTAGGAATTGGAAATTGAGAACCCCTGGCCTAGACTGTTGTCACAGTTACCTATCAGTAGAATGAGAAATGGATTCATGGTTATTGGTGTGTATTTCTTAAAGTCCATTTTGTGTACATAATAAACAAATTAGGGAATTTGTTTACACCAATGGTGCATGAGTAAAGTATGTACCAAAATTCTTCTGCACATGCTTTAGTTTTACCGTCCACTTCTTTGGTGCTATTTTACATGTATTGAAATAATCTTCATATTCTGCGTTACATGTAGATACATGCTCAGGCAGTCTGCCATTATATTGCCCTCTAACATTGGAGACAGAACAGGAATGTCATTTAACAATTGTATCCACAACTTTAGCACTATCCCTATGTGGGTTCTGGGGCCTATTATGGAAAAAGAATAGACGCACTCCCTCACTAACAAGCTTGTCGTAAGAGTCAACTAATTAGGGATTTTTTTAAAACCATAAGTTGCCACATACTTCAATACAGTTGAGACTGATTAGAAATGTCAACTGCCTCACCCATAACACCTTCTCTACCTCCTTTACAATATCTTTGTGCATTACTTAAGCAATCTAATCAATGTGACCATTTTGCTTGTCACTTGGAATTCTTTGAAAAACTGATTTTTGACTCTAAAGGATTAGCTAAGCACTTATTCCTTTGTGCCAACAAATGCAACAGTTCTATAGAGTTCCTTCGATTTTTCCGAGTTTAATGAAACCTTCTCTGAAGCAAGGAAACACTGGAATTAGTTAAGCATATCACAAAACAAAATTTCGGTTCTTACTGACTTCGTTGTCTGTCCCCCCTCCCCCGCCCCCCCAAACCCCCACAACGGTGCAAGCCAAACTTTAGGGTTCGCTAACTGAATTACAACAGTGAAATTCATACTAGAGACAACATTTTATAATATATATATATATATATATAT